ATGGAGCCCGGCGTGGTGGCTCCCACTCGTTATCCCAAGAGCTAGGTAAGCTAGGGCAGGAGGATCCTGAGTTCACAGCCAGCCTCAGCAACTTAGCCAGACCCTGTCTGTAAATAAAATATTAATAGAGCTGTTGATGTGGCTCAATGGTTAAGCGCTCCTGGGTTCAACCCCTGGTACTGAAAAAGAAAAGAAAGAACTGAATGATAAGAATTTAGAAGGAAAGAGTTTTAGCTAAGAGATTTTTTTTTTAAGTGTGAGCCAAGTATTGGCACAAGAAGATAGTTACATAAGCATGTCCTTTGCTTACTAATTTAGTAACTGGAAAGAAATGGCTTTAAAAAAGAAAAATCACCCAGAAAGGGGCTGAACAACTAAGAACAATGTATCCTTCCACCAGGGAAAAGGACTGCTGATGGGGGGTTGAGGGGAACAGGGCAGAGTAAGTCCTTGTTTAGTTTCTTCCCTTGGAAGAAGAGGGGGCAGGAAGCGCAGCCTCAAGTGATTTCTGTGGTCAAGGTGAGTGTCGGACTCCGGAGGGGCCAGAAGAAATAGCCATAGTAAGTAGTGGAAGGAGCCAGAAGCACCTGCGGTTGATGTTGTATGGATGAAGGGAGCTGCACTGCGGCTTTCTGTTTTGTGTTTTCAAAAAAAGTGAACAAGAGAAAATTAACATTGGTGCATAACTTTCTCACAGGGTTCCAGACTATTTCCAGCAATGTAGGCCAAAAAGATACTGAGAGCTACAAAAACTAGGCTTAAAATGCTAAGGAAGTCTTGGGAAGTTTACTCAATTTTCAAAATTGAAGAATATGATAATAAGCAGCTTGTGCACTCTTTACAATAGCAGGGGAAATATATATATATAGACATGTTTTCATCTATGACAAAATGAACCAGGAATTTATAAACTCCAGTACAAAATGCTGCTCATGAGTTAGAAAACACAGCTCTGGACCTTAAACATAGCATTTGATAATGCGTCTTTAAATTTAATGTAAATAATAACTATAAACCCAGGAAGTGCATTTAGGAATGATGAGACCATCGAAAGTCACCCAGTGTGACATCTCCAAATCCAACTTGTCTTTGTATTCTTTGAAACCAAAAAAAAAAAAAAACTAGATGTGCAGAATTGCTCCCAAACTGTTTTCAAGATCTCAAATTATTTATATCAAGGGAGCAATCTAGAACAATGAAAAAAGGAGTTGCTGTTCTGCATCAGAAATTTTAATTGATATAAGTCAATCCAGTTTACTCAACTGTATTCATGCATAAATCCATTAATGTACCAGCGCTCTCCTTTGAAACCAGAGTGGCCTAAGTCTGTCTGCTTTTCTGTGAAATATAACCTGCTGTTTTAGTAAATGTCTGCTTAAAATTGTGCCTCTGTATGTTTTTAAATAGTAGTTTTTCTTTCTTAAACTAAGTGTGCTAATATTTCAGGTTACCTATACTGTCCCTCCCCACCAAAGGAGGGTGACATTTGACTACTATACAGAAGTAGTGGTGAAATTGTGATAAGTTCATTTACATGGGAAGTAAGACCCAGAACTTAGCAGAATGCAAAAGTGTTTCTGACACTTGGGGTGAGGAAAGGACATTTTCATAAGCCAGCCTTACATTCAGGCATATTTGCTAAAGTATTCCTATTTTTTAAAAGATTGACTATTCAGTCTATTACCTTGCTAATCTACCAAGCAGTGGAATAATGTCCTCTCTTTCCCAGAGCTCAAATCAAATTACCTGGTAATTACTCAAAGGAACTCAATGTATTTTTCCTTATTATAAAAACTATCCCAGAACAGTCTTCCTCACTCACCATTGGCAAAGCGAAAAACTAGCAATCATTTTATACTTTTCACACAACAGAAGGAAACAATCTCGTTTGGAAGGCTTGTTGTGAGTTTCAAAGAAAAATGAATGTCCCTAAATAGCTGAAATCTGACAACAATATCAAGAGGTGACCTCTGAAAAAACAGTTCATTTTGAAAAGCAGGTCTAATAAGTGAACTCGAACTATTCTTTAACTAAGATATTGTTAAACATGGCATGGATTAAAATTTGCCTTCAGATTAGTCCTCCACAGTCTGAAAAAAGAAGGCAACATCTTTAAGTTACCAGACTGTATCTTCCCACATGCCCAGACGCTCCAGCAAGCCACATGACCTACAATGTGATGTTAAGGCAGGAAATGGAAAATCATTGTCCAGACTCTGCCAATGACCAGTCATGATCAAAAGGGTAGGGAGATCTGGGGACAGGCTCTATTGTGGAGCACTTACCTAGCATGTGCAAATACCTGGATTCAATCCTCAGCTCCATGAAAAAAAAAATTTTAAATAAGATATAATCAAAAGGGTAGGGGAGGGTAACAGAAACAGCAGGCAGAATTTGTATTATTGCAGTATGAAGGAAGCTAAGAAAATTTCAATTTGAAAATTTGGAATTTGCCCTGAGCAAAGGAAGACTCCTCCACAAGGTTTTGGGACATTATCTGTTGACATGTGAGGGGTTGTTCACCTCCTCTGCTTTTTCCAAAGGAGATGGATACGATGAATACAGCCCATCCCTGTCTAAGCCTTTACCATTCCTGATTCTGAGCCCCCCGGTTCCACTAACTGAATTCCAAGGGACAACTGGAAGCTACATGAACCCTGAAAGCTCTGAACAGTTGTCTTTGCCCAATGGCCTGGCAGTATAGAAATAAGAGCAGCTGCCAGATACTGATCCTAAAACTGGACTTTCAGACATAGGCATGGCCTTAGAAATAACTCTGTCCAAATCACCTATTTTCAGAGCATAAACTGAAGTACAGAAAAAGAAAGCGATCTGTCCAGAAGCACAAGAGGACAGAGCCAAGACCACAGCCCAGCCAAGTACTGTTTGCGCTCGGTAGCTATGTCTCTGGCCTCTGGCTGTCCTCTGCTAGAGGACCAGAAAGTCCCCCACTTCCCAGCAGGGCTGTCCTAGGAGAAGCAATGCAAATGCATCATGTGAAACATCTACAGGTCACAGGTGATCCAGGCCACCAGCCCAGCACCTCATCATGCCATCCCCTTTAGAGTCCACCCAGGACACAGTAATTCCCACGACATCTAAATTGTACCCAATTTTATTCATTTTGTCAAATTTGTTTCTTCTTCCCAAAAGGGTTTCCACTCTTCTAATAAGAAATAGAAAGCTGATTTCCCTCAACTTCTCTGTTTCCACCAGTCATCAGCCTTACAGGCAGAGTTCAAACCCAAGCCTCGCTAAACTAACCTTTCCCTCCTCCGGATATCACTTCAACAAGAACATCTGACCCTGTCCTTCTCCTCTAATCCTGTGCACACTCTGGACTCCTTCATGTCACCTTACCACACAGAATAGAGCAGGCAGGTAATTTAATTATTGGTGAGCCTGGAGTCCTTGTAGGCTTCTGGTAGGTGAACATCGCCCCCTTGTGACCAAACAAAATGCAAGCCAGTTCCTGTCACCTTCACTCAGAGCCACACCCAAATAATCAGAGTCCTTTCTCCTGCTTCAGATCTGACTACACAGAAATCATGCTACAACAATCAACTTTTCGTGAGAATATCTTAGCACTTTCCTTGGCAGTATATGCCACTAAGAGCTCTATTAATAAAAATCATTCCATAAAAGTATTGTATTTTCCCTTAATTTTTTTATTTACTTTGGATTTTACTACTATTAAGACTTTACTAACAATTTCTAGTAGTAAAGACACTTAAAATGCATAAATATTACCATGCAGTTTTTGGTCTTCAGGCAATATTGGAGTCTCAGACTTAGAATTCAAGTTCATGCTCACACGTAGGTTTCCCAAAACAAAACACCTAGGTGTCAGGCTCACTATTACCCAGCTTTTTAATTTAGAAATTCTTATAACATGAAAAGTAGGAGAGCTGGGGATGTAGCTCAATGGTAGAGCATATGACTTATATGTGCAAGGCCCTGGGTTTAATCTCCAGCACCACAAATATAGAAAGAAAGAAAAGTAGGCACAAGTTCATAGACTTGTCCTGATTGCTTTTCAATAGCATCACAATAAATTCTTTGGGGGACTTTCCCAAAATCTGGAACATAAGCAAAGCAACATGGTGTTCAGCCCCTGTTACTGGGAAGAGACCCTGAGGGAAAGTTGCTGGTTCATGACAGCTGACTGAAAGCCAGTGTGCTTTATCCCACTGCCTCCCAATGCCAAGGAAAATAACAGATGGTGGGCATCCTTGGAAGGTCATCTTATCAGAGCCAAATGTGCATGCGAATAGACTGACCCAGGCATGGCCTGGCTCCTGGACTCTTCTACTCTTTAAATAACAGCTTTGCCTCATGTCCAGTAGAGCTGGAGGCTACAGAAACTGTGGCCTCATTATATTTTAAAACTCAAATTTTTATGGCAAGGGCAATACATAAAGAGTTACTATCTTAAAACTTTCTGTGTTCCCTTTTGAATATTTTTTTTGCTATACTTTGCATAACAAAATCAGACAATTGGGTTTTGTTAGTAGCCTGAGGACAGCCTAACTAGTTAGATTGATTAAATCATCTTCAAAGGGGAACGAATTTCTGAGGAGTGTGGGGAGGACAACAGAGATCATTTTTGTGAAGGAACCATTCAAATAATACAATGGGTCTCACACTGGACCTCACTGGGCCAAGGTCAAGGGTAGGAGACATCTCCTGCCTCAGGGTGCTTCCACTTTATACACAGTGCCCTTAACAATCCTGCCTGTGTGCCTTGCATTAAATCCTCAAGCCCAGGAAGAGGCAGAACCCAGTGGATGGAGGTGGGAGCTAAATCTGGGGACAGCAAGGAAGTCTAAAGAGCCCCAGTGGGATCACACACCTGAGGCTGGTGCTCCCAGGGCTTTCCCTTCATTCCTACCACACTGAGAATTGCTATTGAATTTATGTATAGTGATATACATGTATTTCAAGTCAAATTTCCCTACAAAAGAGGGCTATCCCAACCAGCAGAGACTAACAGACTGCGACCAGATAGTGTATGACACTATAATACCAAAAGCCCAAACCCAACCTTGATCCCAACCACATCAATTAATTTCACTATTTTATTAATTTATAAAAAAAACTTCTAAGTGCCTACCATATCACAAAGACTAAAAAAAGCACTGGAAATATGTAGATTAAAAGAAATTCAGAGGGAAGAAGGGGGCACTGCAATATAAAGATTTTAACATTTAAGAAATATCTAAAGCTCAAGCTTTAAAGAGTAGGTCCAGTGGGTCACCTCTAATTCTGAATCCCAAAACCTTGGAAGGGATGTGGATGGCCAAAGGAAAGCTGAGCAAGGGTAACTGAAACCTGTATTCAGCTCAGCAAAAAAATTAGGTGAATTTCCCACTGACAGTGTTCCCCATGTTGTACTTGAATGTCCCTGTTCTGCCATGCAGGCTTCTATTGCCTCCCTGAAACTCAGTTAGTAGAGAAGTGGCTTCACAAACTTTGGTGTGCATCAGAATCACCCAGAGGAGCTAATGAGGTACACAGGGACCCAGTACTTGGATGAAGTAATAGGAGAAGACCCCAAGCCTTTGTACTGTCACCACTCCCCAGGTGATTCTGATACCACTAAAGTTGGAAAATCCAGTGTAGATTAGGAGGTTCTTCTCAAAGTGACAGAAAACTCATGTGACATCCTGGGTGGGTCATCCATTAAAGAAAAAGTGCACCCAAAGATTCCTGCCTCTGAAATCTAAGGACTTGCACACCAGCCTTCCCCCAATGGTACTGTCCCCACCACTCCTGGTACCCAATGCCCTCCTGCATGAAGGACACAGCTGTTCAGGCTAATTAGTGGTGCCCCTGGAATTCACAGTGCACAGAACTACCTCTTCTTTCACTTAACAGAACAAGGATTTTCCTTAGACCCTAGAAACCCCCTTTGGAAGTAGAAAGCAACAATGAGTAGAAAACAAAAGCTTTTCTGTTTTGCATCTATTTTTGGCTCACATCTAAGAGACATACCAGGTGTGAAGGCCTGGGTTCAATCTGTAGCATCTCAAAAATAAATAAATAAATAAATAAAATAAAAGATACACCATAACTCCAGGTCCTTGAGAAATGCTATTCTCTTTGAAGGAAAATCTCCTTGATTCTGGGAAAATATTCCATTGATAAAATTTCTTCTTCTATTCCTCCCCACTTCTCTTTAAATACAAGGGTTCCTCATATACAATTCGATCCTGACATTCCAATTCCCCTCCCTACACATTGTTCTTTTATGAAAAATTGCCCCTTAAAAAAAAAATGGTTAATAGAGGTTTTAAAGGATACCTGGGCTCTAAGCAGGCCCTACCCAATGCAGGCCCTGGTAATGATCCTCACCCTCTGGGCGGAGTCTTCCTTTAGTGAGTGGGAAGAAGATAAATCATCTGCTAGAGGGTGGTGACAGGCCTGGGTCAGAAACAGAGAGGGGGCTGGGGAACGTGGGGGACCCTACTCCTGGTGGCTGGGAATGACAGCATTTGCCATGTCTAGCCTTGTGTTTCTTTCTGCTACACTGGTGTTTTTTTCTCCCCAGCTGAAGACTTGAATAAATATTTTGATTTTCTGTTATTGCCGACGATTACTGCATCTTCTTATTTAACTTATGTCTTCTTTCCAAGCGAGAATATCCAGGTTTCGGTTGGATCTATTTTAAGGTGAATTAATTAACCAGCATAATAATACATTCATATGTTTCTTTTTTCATTATATTTTACTCTAAAATAGTTACCGAACACGTGCAATAGAATCCCTAGTAAACCACGCTGTCTTTTGGATTTGTTTGTTTCTTTCTTTCTTGTCTGACAGGGGAACCTGCCCCCAGACTACAGGATCAGCCTGATTGACATCGGCCTGGTGATCGAGTACCTGATGGGCGGAGCTTACCGCTGCAACTACACGCGCAAGCGCTTCAGGACCCTCTACCACAACCTCTTCGGCCCCAAGAGGGTGAGTTCCAGCCAAACCTAGGTGGTGCAGTAGTAGGTTGGGTGTGGCTTCTTGATCTCCGTAGGGGAGGCCTGTTGAGAAGGTGCTAACTGCTCCTCCTCTTCTTCTCTCTTCCATCCAAACTGTTAAAAAAAAATTAATTTGGCAATAAATACTATCAGTTGTTTTTCTTGAAGTGACAACCTCACTTGGGTCATTCCAAAAATGCCTGCCCAATGTCCAGTCTGTCTGCCCCAGTCTTGTCTGCCAGTCTTCCCTTCAAGTAAAAGCGATATTCTATATAAACAAAGGGGCTGTGACTTAATCCAAAGAATGCCAAAGTGTTTTTCCTCAGAACAGCCTTCTAGATCATAGGTAGCACAAATGTTTCTGGGTCAGGCTTCCCGATTTATCCCAGGGGATGGTAATAACACACACAATCAGAGATTAAACAAACATGGTAATTATTGAAGGCTTCAAGAGCATGTTTAAGGGAAATTGTTTGGGATTTTGTTTACTTGTTTTTGTTTTCTCCAAGTGCCTATCAGCGTAATCCAATGACCACAGTGAAGTTTGGTATCACTACCTTTATTTTTATTTATTTATTTTTATTTTGGATTGGGGTTTGGACCTGGGTTGCTCTACCTCTAGCTACATCTTCAGAGGGGTTTATGTATTGAGACAGTCACTAAATTGATAAGGCTGGCCTCAAACTTGCAATCTTCCTGCTTTAGCCTCTGGGATTACAGGCCTTTGCTCCTACCGGCTTCACAGTTTTTACTCTTGCTAAGGCACCAAGCAGTTTTACTCCCGACAGCTTTGTGCCATCTAAGCTAGTGTAAACACAATATCCAAACTCAGTATTATTATGAACATAGATTGGAATTCTCGCACCCTCTGAAAGGGTCTTGGGGCCCCTCGTGACCCATGGATGACATTTTGAAAGCTGCTGCCCTAGCTGGTAGTGGACATCATTTTTCTCTTTCTTTTGTTTTCCTCTATTTTTAATTTTTTAATTTTTTTTTCATTTTATTTTTGTATTTTTTTAAATTTTATTGTTTCTTACTTTTAACAAAGCTTTATTCTGACTACAAAAGTATTTTGCAGGACTACTGGGGAACTTTGAAGACACCAAAAAGCATAAACAAGAAAAAATAATAGCACAGATTGTAAACTGGTGGTCATCTCAGAAGCTGAGAGAGAGAGAGAGAGAAAGAGAGAGAAGGTTCCAGCTATTCCCACTTGAATAGTCACATAAAATTTGAAGGACCTGTGAGGGCTGGGACCTTCCAATTTACTCAGATAACTTCCAAGATGGCACCCAACCATTCTGTACTACTTAGAACCACAGAATTTGTGATCCTGCCCCCGAAGGTATTTTGGTATCTCCCTTTGTTAAATATAAATCAGAGATTTGCCAAGTGGCCTTCTCTGCTGGCTGCAGTCTGTGCCTATTGTGCACATTTCCAGATGCTGACACTATCTGTGCCTTGAGGGCCTCCTGCCACCCTCCATACATGCCCTCTCACCCTCTCTACAGTGCAGCAGCACAGGGAGATGGCCAGCAGGAAGCACCAAAACATGTATTTATGAATGATATCTGATTCCTCTCCAACTAATAGAGGTATTTCAGAGGTTGGAGATGTGTGGGATTTTATCTGTTTGGTTGTTTCATTGCTCATCTTAGTTCAAGCTACTGTAACAAAATACCACAAACTAGGTGGCTTATGAACGTAAATCTACCACTCACAGTTCTGGAAGCCAGACAAATTCAAGATCAAGGCACCAACAAATTCAGTGTCTAGTGAGGGCTTGCTTTCTGGTTCACAGATGGCACCTTATTGTGTGTCCTCACATGATGGAAGGGCGAATGAGTTCCCCTGGGCCTCTTTTATAAGGACACCAACCTTATTCAGGAGGGCCCTTCTCTCTTGACCTTCCCAAAATCTCTACTCCAATGCCATCACCCTGGGGTTAGAATTTCAACATATAAATTTGGGGAGGAAAAAAAAACATTCAGACTCTAACACTCATACAAGTACTGGAAATCATGACATTCTGCCCAAGAAGGATGGTTATAGGAAAGTGAAAGAAATCTTGGTTCACAAAAGATATTATAAACCTTTAGACTTTATCTGTGGACGATCACATCTCTTCAGTTTCCTAATTTTCTGTGAGTCACCAAAATCATTAAATCTCTAATTCTTTTATAAATTCTATAAATTTAGTTCCCTTTGTGTTCTTTTATTCAGAGAAATAAAATAAATGCTATATGGTGCACTAGAGTTATTGATTACTTGTTTATGATATAATAGGATTCTTTTCTTACTTCTGTAAAAGAAAGACCTAATTTTGTTGACATTTCTTTTTAACAGCCCAAAGCCTTGAAACTTCTGGGAATGGAGGTAAATATTTTTCAAATTATTAGTGTCAATTATTCTCTTTATTACATATTTTTTAAAAAATACAGTGCTAGCACTTAACATATCTTTCTAAAATAAGGAAATGAAGTTTCTAAGTGTCATGGGGGCAGTTCCCAGTGGCTTTGAAAATTCAGCCATGAGGTTATGTTAGCATTGCAAACAAAAATAAAGAAATAAGTCCTATTTGAAATACTAACTTGAAAACCAAGGAAGCATACAAATTCCCATAAGCAAAATCCGTTCATGGGTGTTTGCAAATGACAACAGATCCAACAGCCTGAACTACTTCACAGATACATCCGTAGAGAGGCAGAAATGAGAGACATGCTATGTTTCCCATCTTTTGTTGAAATGGTTATTTTCATTTCTGCAAAACACAAGTATAGGATATCCTTGTCCTTTCGACAAAAAAGGGGAGTGCTGTCTATCATGAGATACAAAACTTACTAATAGTAGAAAAAGTGGACAAAAGTAAATAGAATAAGAAAAATGCCTATTAAAATTAATTCTTTAAAGTATAAAATTGACATATTCCCATGGGACTATGCTTATTATACAATAAGTAGAACTTATTTTAAAATTAATCATAAATGAGATTGTGAGTTCTTTTAGGATGAAACCTGGCCTACTGCATTTCAGTATTGATCTCAGAGCTGAGCTAGTGGAAGATATACAATAACTATTCAGTGAATTGAACTGATTCATTTTTAACTCAGCCTCTCTGTTTTTATCTAAAATTACAGGATGATATTCCCCTGAGGCGAGGAAGAAAGACCACCAAGAAACGTGAGGAAGAGGTGGACATCGACTTGGATGACCCTGAGATCAACCACTTCCCTTTCCCTTTCCATGAGCTGATGGTGTGGGCTGTCCTCATGAAGAGGCAGAAGATGGCCCTGTTCTTCTGGCAGCATGGAGAGGAGGCCATGGCCAAGGCCCTGGTGGCCTGTAAACTCTGCAAAGCCATGGCTCACGAGGCCTCCGAAAATGACATGGTTGATGACATTTCCCAGGAGCTGAACCACAACTCCAGGTTGGCCAACCCAGCAAACAGGGAGGTCAGGGGAAACATGGGAAGGTTGCCTCCAAAGACTCCAAGGTCTGAGCAACACATAACATTAAAGGGAGGCAGTATCACCCCAGTGGTGCACACAGAGAGTACACACAGAGGGTACACAGTAGTACACATACCAATGCACAGATTTCATGTCATCCTCTCAGCTTTCCCAAGAGGTAGGTCCTATTGTTATGCACTTTGTTGAGCTGAGGACAGTGAGATTCAGAATTTAGGTAACTTATCCAAGATCACTTGGATAAGTTATGGTTGGCAAGGCTGGGATTTGAACTTGAGATCGGCCACATTGAAGAAGACACATTGCACTCTAATTGTTTGGACAGCCTCCCCCATAAATATGCCTTGGATTTGGGGCTCGAGTGTGGGGATCATGTCTTGTTGGACTTACATCCTCAGCTCTAGACATGGTGCTGGATGCTTAATGGATGTTGTCTGGATGAATTTATGAACAGACGAGACCTCACATGGAGCCATTGCTCCACACAGCAGCCACATTTTGTGGCTGGCCAGTGGATCTGTTTTAGTTAGCTTTTTCATTGCTGTGACCAAAAGACCTGGCAAGAACAATGTAGAGGAAGAGAAGTTGATTTTGGCTCAGGGTTTCAGAAGGTCAGTCCATGGTCAGCCAACTCCATCACTGCGCGCCTGAGGACAAGCAGAACATCATGGTAGAAGGAGTGATAGAGGAAAGCAACTCAGGATATGGCAATCAGGAACCAGAGAGAGATCTTTACTCACCAAGGAACAAAATGTAAACCTCAACGGCATGTCTTATGTACTACTTCCTCCAGCCACCCATTACTTGTTTATAGTTACCACCCGGTTAATCCATATCAGTGGATTAATTCACCAATCAGGTTACAGCTCTCATAAGCTAATCATTTCACCTCTGAAAATTCTTGCACTGTCTCACACATAAGCTTTGGGCAGACACCTCACACCTAAACCATAACAGGTCCAGCCCCACTTTTGTCATGTGAGTCTCCAAGCTGGCCTGAGGCTCCTTTGTACCTTCTCTCTTTCAGGGACTTTGGCCAGCTGGCTGTGGAGCTCTTGGACCAATCCTACAAGCAGGATGAGCAACTGGCCATGAAACTGTTGACGTACGAATTGAAGAACTGGAGCAATGCCACATGCCTGCAGCTGGCTGTGGCTGCCAAGCACCGTGACTTCATTGCGCACACGTGCAGCCAGATGCTGCTCACTGACATGTGGATGGGTCGGCTCCGCATGCGCAAGAACTCAGGCCTCAAGGTCAGTGTGCCCAAGGAGGCCCTGTGGGCTATGAGGGCCCGAGGGTTGGTTGTGGTTTTCCAAGCCAAATCTGTGGTGGGATTAGGCGTTCCTTTATCTCAAGAGGCTGCTACTAAAACCCAGCTGTTCACCAGAATCTCCTATGGAGTGTTTTGAATTTCATATAGAGGCAAGGGCCTCCCCTAGTCCTTCTGAATCAGCATCTCTTGAGATAGCGCCTAGACATTGATGTTTTTCAGAAGATCCAAAGGCAATGGTTCCACAGGTTCCACAGGGGACACATTTGCTCTGACACAAGCCGGGCTATACCAGGAGTCCTCACCTAGGTAACCCTTCTCCACGGTTGGAGCCTGACCTCTCCCTTTCCCCCATATGTCCTTTACATCATGTAGTAGAGACATTGAATCTTACCAAATGTGCTTGAGGACTTTTGTGTATGTGTGTGTATGTGGTATTATTGGGGATTGAATTCGGGGGAGTTTTACCACTGAACTACATCCCCAGCCTTTTTTTAAATTTTGAAACAAGGTCTCACTAGGTTGCCTATGCTGATCTCAAACTTAAGATCCTCCTGCCTCAGCCTCCTAACTGGCTGGAATTACAGGTGTGCACCACCATCTCCTAAGAGAAATTTTTTAAACTGAAATAAATATGTGGCAGATTTATATATCAAGGCATTGCTACATGATTCTGAGCTGTTGTTTTCTTTTTTTGGTGTTGGGGATTGAAGTCAGAGCCTTACACACATACTGTGCCACTCTGCTACATTCTCAACCCCCTAATCTATTATTAAATGAAGAAAAACAATTTACAGACCATTCTGCATAACCTGAGTCCCTTTTACAAAATGTATATGTGCAGAGTTATAGCAATATAAATTCATTTAAAAAAAAAAAAACCAAGAACACAGAATAAACTATATGCAACTTCTGAGGTTGAATGGACCTTATTAGAATTTTTTTTGTTGTTGTTTTAATGAGAAGTAGGATGGTAAGAAGGACTTGCTTTTTTAATTTTCAATGTTTTTCAAAGAAAACATTAAACTGAAAAAGAAAAAAAAACGGGAGGTGGAAGATCAAAAGAAAATGTAGTTTTGTTGTTTGCTTTTGGTTTTTGTTTTAATTCATTATAATGACAGTTTCTTTTTATTTATTTATTCAAAGTATATAACACAATGTTTTGATATACATAGTGAAATAGTTCTTGTAGTTAAGCAAATTAACAAATCCATCATCTAGTATAGTTAGCCTCTTTTTTTAATGTGATCAGAACTCCTAAATCTTCTTTCTTAGTAAATTTTCGGTATACAATGTGATATTAAAACTGTGGTCCTCATTAGATCCTGGGATTTACTCATCCTGCACACCTGTGACTTTGTGTCCTTTGCCCACCATTTACTAAGCCAGCAGTCCCTGTCCCATTCCTCCCTTCCCGTGGGCTCTTGACCCAGAGTCACAGAAGGTTCCATGAAGCAGAACATGAACATTTCCCTAGCTGCATTATTAGTGACTGCTGAGCCTGACCTCAGGGGGCAGCTGAGTCAGTTCTTAGCTCCAAGGACAATGTGTCATGTCCCCTGAAGGCTAAGAACAGCAGCATTCCACCTGAGACCAGACCTGCCAGGCACCCAGAATCCAGGGTCCTCACCTTTCCTTCCTTCTCCCTGACTGCTCTCCAGTCCCCGTGGCCATTCAGTCCTGGTCTGTCCCTGTCTTGTGCCTTGAGCTTCATTTTTCCTGACCCTTTGTTTCTTCAAAAATTAGACTGAGATACTATGCAGAATATTTCTCCAATGGGACAAAGTGACCTTCTTCACATCAATGTGCTTCAGATATTCAGGTGTTCAGGTCCACACACAGGGCATACAACACCTGTGCAAAGTGCACATGCACATGTACCCAAACACAGACACTTAAACGCCACACCCCAGGCCCTCTGATTCTAAGCAACCACCTAATCTTAATCCTTTAAATGTGATTATTATTATTATCATTATTATTACTTTAGGTAATTCTGGGAATTCTACTTCCTCCTTCAATTCTCAGCTTGGAGTTCAAGAACAAAGATGACATGCCCTATATGACTCAGGCACAAGAAATCCATCTCCAAGAGAAGGAGCCAGAAGAACCAGAGAAACCCACAAAGGAAAAAGATGAAGAGGACATGGAACTGACTGTAAGGAAAAATAAATAAATAAAATATATTTTATTTTATAACAACATATATTTATAACAGTTATTTATATGTGTGTTATTTTCCCTGAGGAGAATCCCAAATGCACTGATAAGGTTCAATAGTTCTTAAGGTCAGATAGATGTCCCCATCCTCAAGTTAGTCATGGGTGCTGCCATTTAAGAATTGAGACCAGGGTATTATAAAAATGCCTCTTTATGCACAAATAACATGACTGTTGTTTGTGCATAAAGAATTCAGAGCAAGGCACCCTCAATTTCCCAGGCCAGCAAAGGTTTATAAACAAGGAGATGATGTAGCAGTCTTAGCACGCAAAACAAGAAAGGAGAACCATGATTTGGGAGCAGCCAGCTTCACAGAGCTGGAACCATTCTGCTGATCAGAAGCTGAGCCCTTATCTATCTTCAGGGTCAGGCTCACAAATACAGCACTAATTGAATTTTGAGGTTTGTATGGAAAGCTTTTATTAGCTCTCCCCAGTGTAATTATAGAACATGGGTGCTTTGTTCTGCAGAGGGAACCAACGGGCAGCTGCGCATGAGATGGCTTCCCACAGCCCCCGCCTGAGCAGCGTGACTGTTACTGGCTCCTTGCCAAAGACTAAAAATATCCCATGCTATTAAAGGGACACATAAGGCTTCATAGTTCAGGAAACATCAAGCAACCACTCCCTAAGGACTTTCTTGATATGCCTCACCCCCCTCACCACTCCAGCCAGCGATGGCTGCCATAATCACCCAGAAGGAACTGTGAGAGGAGAAAACGAAAATTGGTTTTGCTCAGGTGACAAAAGGCCTATGCATTATCATCCTGGTGGGGCCACTGAGGATTGTTCTTCCTCCAGACAAAGAACATTTCCTTCAGTGGGCCCCTTCTCAACCTCTGTTTGCAGACATGATCTCTAACTCAAACACCAACTTTTGTTTCAGTTTCAGGATTTTTACAAAAATCCACGTAGGTCTCTGCTCACCTCTATAGGAATACAGATGGTCTTCCCTGAAATTATCTTACCATAATTTTGGCTTCTAAACCCCGTGATGGATAGGAAATAATATTTTAATCATTAGCAGTGACATGGGTAGGGATAATGCTGAATCCTTCTTGGGCAGCTCAGCAGGGGAGTAAAGAGTGTATTCTCTAGAGTCAGAATCCTCCCCATCACCTCTTGCTGTATGATTTTGAGCACTTTCATCATTTTTTATTGTGGGCATAATAACTATATGTGTCTCACAGGAAGCTGTGTAGTTTAAAACATATTCATGTAAAATGCTTAGACTGGCAGCTGACACACCACAAAGGTTAGTAAATGCTCACAAATGCACACTAAGCATTCTTTGTACACTTCTTCATGGAATCCTCACACTGGATCCACAAATAAGCACTGTTTTTATTAACCCCATTTTACAGATGAGGAAGATGGGACTCAGGGAGATCAAACTGCCCAAGTTTACCCAGTTGCAAATCTGGGATTAGAACCCAGGCAAACAGACTCCACTGGTCCCTTTTTTGATTCAGGGAAGGAGAGAATTTCTTCCTCCTTTCAGCTACTTTGGGTGAACACATAGTAGAGAGAATTCAAAAGCAACACGCAGGACTCCTAAGTCAAGTGTGAGGTGACCTTGATGTAGACACACATCCTAGGAAGTCAGCCAGGAGCTGACTCAGCCTTCTGCCTGATTGGATCTCCAGGAAGAAAGCAAAGGGAGGAGCTTCCCCTGCTCAGGCTAGAGCTTTGAGGATCTGATCCTGCAGGAAGCCACAATAAAGGATGTATCTCTAGACTGAGAACACAGTCATCTGGCCAGAGGACAGCCTCCCGTACTGTGTACTAAGAACCTGCATAGGAGACACAGGGTGGCCTTGCTGCCTGGGCTTGTTCTCCCCAGGGAGAAGGAAAGGAAGTAGGGATGGACTTGAGGACAGCAAGCTCAGACCCTGATGGCAAACTCTGTCCCTGCTGGGGCTCCCATCAGCAGGCTCACCCCAGGCAGGATTGAGGGTGCAGCTTGATGATATCTTCCCTTCTTTCATAGGATTGACATTTGAGCTTCTGTGTTAAACTAACATATCTCCTCTTATAATGGGACATCCTTTGTCCTGCCAAAACTATAACCCAAAATATTCGCCTTGGTTCATTCCATTTCAGAATGTTTAGTAGTTCAGGATCATTAGTTCACGTCAAAGGATCTTTTTCTACATTAACACCTGTGCTTAGGCAGCAGAGATTTAAAATCCACAATGTACAGTGTATTTGAATTTGACCCTTAAATTCTGCTTTAGGAGATGTCAAAGGAAACATTTTGACAATAGGAAAAAGAAAAATAAACCAAATCCGGCAAGTGAAGCTGCTGAGGCCGGAATTGATGGAAGGGCAAAAATGCTCTAAAAAGAGCAGGCTTTTTAAAATTGGCATTTGAATCATAAAGGCAAAACTGGTTACTTTGTTTTCTCTCCTTCCCTGAATCAATGGCCTTGTAAGTGTCTCCACCTTGCACTTTGCCTGATAAAGTACCTACATGTCCCACAGCCCCAGAGATGGCTACGTTGGGAAATCCAGTGTCCCTGGAGATAAGCCCCAGCTGCCTCTCTCCAAGATGCCTAAAGATCTCCAATCTACCTTTACTTCTATCTCATTATGTCTCCAGAAGGCATTGCATTGTCTAACATAGACATAAGCAGAACTGAAGCAGGATAATTATGTTACATAAATTATAAATTATAGAAGGACAAATACCACGTACCTTCAGAGTTTCTTGAGATCAGTGATCAATACTTAGAGAATTCTATGGGGGCTCTAGTGTTATCCATCATGAAGACTGACTCAGCTCACTGACATTAAACACCTAGACAGACCATGGAGGAAAATTTGATCTTTTAATTAACTCAAGGTCCTTTTCTAGCCAGTGTCTACAAAGAGATGGAAGTTACCTTCCCAGAAATTCAATTGATTAGAGAGAAATCATTTGTGATCATCACATATTTGAGCAAAGTGGTTATTTGAGACAGTGACTGAAGTAGTTGAAACTAATATTTGCATATTTTAGGTTCGTTTGTTATTTGAAAACAGAATTATGTAGTAGTTACTTCTAGTCTCAAGTTCGAGACAAACTTAAATTATTGCTGTAATTAGATTGCTCAACTTGAAATTCTTATGCCCAGTACTCTGTCTTGTCCCAAATCCTTGTTAGTTCCTCATCAGTCATAATATCTTACCCCATTTTTACATTTAATTAAAAAAAATCTCATTTCCCAACAGCATGAAACTAACCTTATCTTAGAACAATATTGAAGAAGTAAAGTCAGAAAACTGTACTGCTATACATTCTAATAACATACTTTTTTGTGTGCAAAATCCCAACTAGATAATTTCAGTGAAGAGTAGCCAAGGTCTCATGTTACTTAACTAGCTAAGTTACTGAGCATCTATTATGTGCCAGGTGCTAACTTATTGGTAGACCAACCCTATATCAGGGGCTCTTATTACCCCTCTTTTACATTTAAAAAAAAATTAAGTCTTGGGGCTGGGAATGTAGCTTAGTGGTAGAGCACTTGCCTGGCATGCTTGGGGCCTTGGGTTCAAATCCCAGCACTGCAAAAAAATAAAATAAAATAAAATAATAACAATAAATAAATAAATAAATGAGAAACTGAATCTCAGATTAAAAATACAATATTCTTTTTTTTACATAATGAAAGTTTTTAATTGTTAAAGGCATATCTCACAGAGCAATTAAAACAACTTTGGTTCATAAATTAAATATATTACACTTGAAATAAGCTTCAAAATCTACCTATAATCCTCACAAGTGAAGCTTCATGAGCCAAAAATAGTGATTTTGGTTCTGTAAGAAAAGTGTATTGACTTTAATATAATACACAGCTTTGTCTATCATGTTAAAGAATTTCTGTCTTAGTTGTGGAAAGATTTGTCCAACTCATACTTGTTTTATACATAGTGAGAAACAGTGGTATTCTGATAAAATTAACAGTATTATTCTGAAAGACTGGAAACTGATTTATCACTTACAATTTGGAATGAGAAACTGTCTACATCAATCTTTCTTTTTTTATAATTTTTATTGTTGGTTGTTCAAAACATTACATAGTTCTTGATATATCATATTTCCCATTTTGAGTCAAGTGGGTTATGAACTCCCATTTTACCCCGTATACAGATTGCAGAATCACATTGGTTACACACCCACTGATTTACATATTGCCATACTAGTGTCTGTTGTATTCTGCTGCCTTTCCTATCCTCTACTATCCCCCCCTCCCCTCTTCTCTCTCTACCCCATCTACTGTAATTCATTTCTCCCCCTTGTTTTTTTTCCCCTTTCCCCTAACTTCCTCTTGTATGTAATTTTGTATAACCCTGAGGGTCTCCTTCCATTTCCATGCAATTTCCCTTCTCTCTCCCTTTCCCTCCCACCTCTCATCCCTGTTTAATGTTAATCTTCTTCTCATGCTCTTCCTCCCTACTCTGTTCTTAGTTACTCTCCTTATATCAAAGAAGACATTAAAAAATACAATATTCTTGATGCTGTTGCTGTTGTCATGAATGAGAAGGGAATCATGGATTCTTTGGGAAGATCTCCAACAGCTTGGAGATGAAGACTTCTGCAAGCCGAGGCTGACTAGGGTCCTCCTATTGTTACCTGGCTGCAAAGAAAGTCAGCATGCCCAGGACTTGTCATACCACTAATGCCAACTGTAGCTCAGATTTTACCAGGACTGAATCAGAGAACCAAGGCACATGCCTACCGTTTGAGGAGATGGCCCTAACAACTTCAGGTGCTTCAGATAACTCACCTCTTGAGGGCTCATGATCTTTGGGTCAAGTAGGGACTCTGGTTCAATTTACCTTTGACTTAAAAGTCATCAGTGTAGGTGGAGAGAGAATCTGAACCCAGAGGTAGCCTGTCTCACAATACATAAGGACAGGGTGGGGGCACAGATTCCTCCAATGTGGCTTCCCCGCTACACTCTTCTTCCCTCTCGGAACGCTGTGTGTTTTCCATTGTCTGCCTCTTCCAGAGGGTTCAGGATAGAATAAAATGGTCAAGAGTTTTCCCCAAGACCTTCCATCCCAAACAAAGGAAATGTATAGATTGTACAAGAGTGCAATCACATACCTAGGGAAGGCATGAACTTTAAATTGCTGGGGGGTGGGGGGGGCAGGAGCTCAGGTTCTTCTGTTTAATGAGCTCTGAAGTATAAAATAAGCGAGTCAGAGTATATGCTCTGCAGAGCCCTGCCATGATGGGTTCCATTCTCTCCCTCTGTAGGCAATGTTGGGACGAAACAATGGGGAGTCATCCAGGAAGAAGGATGAAGAGGAAGTTCAGAGCAGGCACCGGTTAATCCCTCTGGGCAGAAAAATCTATGAATTCTACAATGCACCCATTGTGAAGTTCTGGTTCTACACTGTAAGTATCTTTCCTTTCCTAGTGGATGGCCACAGGAGCCAACATTCACGTCTCAGGCACCGGGGTGGTTTTCTCTGTGAGTCATACGTAGCACACATTGCAGGAAAGGAAGCTGTATGACCTTGCTTTTCCAATAGTTTTGCAAGATCTGTGGAGTTTGTTGGGCAGGTTCCACAGGCTAAATGTCTTCTCTTCAAAAAACTTAAGGAAATGATAAAAGTGAGAACCAATAGAAATAGATGTGAGGTGAGTATGAATTCAATCTAGTAGGAAGTAGATGTCCACTTTCAAAACACTTTCCTGTTCTGGATGGATGAAGACTAAGTCAGAGTTGCCTACTTTAGGTGCCAATCCTGGGTTTTTGTGGTTTGTTTGTTTGTTTCTTTGAGGGTGGGGGTTTACATTTAGTAAATAAGACTCAAGCACAGTGTGGAAGTGGTGTGACTAGGCATGGGTAGCATATGCACATAGCTACTCCCAATCTGGTATTGCCAGCAAACAAATTTTCTTGGTTAGACCCAATAAACAACAAACAAGCAAAAGAGGCAGAAACTACCAGAACAACCAATAGTCATGGCAAAGATTATTCAGTATGTACACCCCACAAACCATGCCTACAAAACCTTGGGTTCCTGAAGAGGCCTCCTGATAGGGTAGAAAGGACTGAACTGCTGGTTTTCCACTTCTACTTCTCAATGATATTTTAAGGTGAGCTTGTGGCCCATGTCATCTCTGATTCTCCCCAGAGAATCAGAACTGTGCAAAGACAAAGGAGAGTGCATCTGTATTTTTAGCCTTTTTGATAACCAGCTACAGAGCAATCCTTTGAGTCAGCAACAAGATAATCTAAATCTGAGGCTGAGATGACTCAAATGTCTAAATGAGGTGCTTTTTGTGTGGACCTGTGTGCTAACTAGCACTGGCTGTATAGCAGAGACTCTCAACCTCAGCAATATCAGCACTTTGGGGAGGGTAAGTCTTTATCGTAAGGTGCTGTCTCCGACATGTTGCATATTTAGCAGCATCCCTGGCCTCTACCTACCAGATGCCTATAGCACTCTTCCTCCAAGTATGACAATCAAAATATTTCTAGATGTTGCCAAACATCCCCTATGGGATTAAAAAAAAAAAAAGCCATCAGCTGAAAACCACTACTTTAAAGTATGGTCTCAAAAGAGGATCCGAGATTATGAAAATATAAATATTATATTTATATTTAGTAAAGTAAAACTTCTAATGTATTAATGTTAAGAAAAGAGAATATGGAAGAATATAGCCTACTAAAAAGAAAAAAAAATGTCCACCCCTCTCAACGGAAGCATGCAAAAAATATTTCTATTTCTACATTTTATACAGATCTACATTATTTTTACCTTTCAGAAAACAGCATAGTGGTGACAAGCATGGACCTTGGAGTGAGACAGCCTGGGTGGGAATCCCATCTGTGCCTCTTTGTATTGTGTAATGTCAAACAAGTTACTTTCCTATTCTGTCCACA